AGGCTTCCCAGAGCTGACATCCTCTCCCACACTTCGTCCCTGTTGTAGACACACCACAGAACACTGGCATGGTGCTCCTCTAATAAGAGCAGTCAATTTCCCTAAGCACAGGAGGTTTGGAATTTTCCCGCATTATTGCCATCCCCCAAACCATGCACAGACTCTTGGTGAGAAGTGTGAAGCATCCTAGTTTAATCTGACCAGTGGTCTATGGGGAGCTACAAAAGTCACTGCCTTCCAGCTCAGACAATGCTTCATTTCATCCTCTTGTCCCCTGAAGTGCCAGGAAGAAGACTCCAACCCTAGTGGATAGAAGCACCCTGCTTAAATTTAAACCAGAACTCAATACTGAGTAAAGATGTCTAGTTGTAGTCTGAACAAATTTGGCACATTGCATCAAAAAAATCCTGGAATAAAAGTCTTTATTCTGATACTAGTGCATTGGTGGAAGCTGAGCAAGCCACTGCATCCCTGAGCCTCTATTTACTCAACTAAGAAATGGGAACAAGGGGGATCATTTCATAGTTTGCAGCACACTCTGAAGTTATGTACCTGGGTTCATACCCTAGGCTTTTCTCCGACTAGTCCAATATCCTTGAGTCAGCCTCTGTGCCTCAGTTTCCTCACATATAAAATGTACCTAGTTCATAGGGCTGCTTTATGAGTTAAATACGAGAAATTAGGTAAAGATCTCACTCACATGCTTTGCTTTTAACTCCCCCAATAACTGTCAGCCAGGCCCATTACTATCATAATTAATAGGGAAGAAGGGGGAAATAAAAATCTCCACCACTAGGAATTTACTGAATGGATTAAACAGTTTAGCAGTGGGTAGAACCTTTGTTTGACAGGTTTCAGAGCCCAGGGCTACTTCTAAAGCCAAGAAACAAAAGTGGGACTTGGTATGGACGCATTTGTACCACAACACATGACACATTCCAAATGCCTGCTGGTCCACCTTCAACCCCTTTATCAACTTGGTAGTAATCAAAGGCTTTGGTGGGCATTCACTTGGGGAAAGAAATAGGCTACAGATCCCCACCTTCCTTTGCATAAAATTAATTGTGTAATCCATGTCTATAGACAAGTAAGAAAGGCAGTTGACTCAATCTTTTTAAGACCCTGAAAGATAACTTCTTGACCTGAGACTTTCTGTCAGAGGGTAAAAATATTCTTAAAAGGAATTCATTGAAATTGGGTCAGGGGGTTTACATAGACTGCTTTTGGTCTAGACTGTTTTTACACTTCCTAAGTTTCTCCAACAAAGATATAAAGGGCTTTCCTTCTTCATAAACCCCATTTTCAAATCCAAAGAAGGAACAGGTAGCAAACATAAAAAGGTGTACATAAATTCCTGCTCAAAGTTAACTTTGTGAGCCAACAGCCATGTTGAGAATTACACTGAAAACAAATCAAATCATGTCTGACTGGAGCCATTCTCAGTCCTGGCTCTGCAATTATTTAGTACCTTCCGTGACATTCCATACAATTAAAACAGCTATTTATGGTCTGCTTATCTATGTAGGACCCTGTTAACATGGGAGGTGGAAAGGAGATGGACGGTGGGGGATATGTGCATATAAAGTTGAATATCATCTGGTTCCTGAAATTACCTACATTAAAAAAAAATTAAAAAACGGGGGCAATCTTCAGCCATTTGTTAAAGGGAAAGATGTACAAGCCCTCCAAAAAAAAAAAAAGTACAACTTCAAGCGACTGGAAAAGAGATCATTAAAAAACTAACTTCATAATAATGTCTGAATGGATCATTTACAGCTTTTGAAAGCACCTTGCCAATAAAGTGGGGATGCCTATCTTCTCATTAGAAGTGCTCTCCAAACTACTAACGGAAAGTTGTTCTCTTTCCCCCTATGAATTGACACTACGAATCTGCAACAAAGATACTCTTCTGTTTATGATGATATCCTAGACAAGATATTTACAAATTTGTTCAGAAGACTTTGATCTGACTTGATTTTCTGGCATAGAAAGAGTATATAAACAGCCTTGTCTCAAGTTCAACATGTTTCAAATGTAAACTCAACATACCCATCCTTCTCCTCCACTGTCCACAACATTTGTAATCAAATTCTGTTGATCACACCCCTCTTCTTTCAGCCAATAAATAACTGCTGCCTGTCTACATGTGATAGGCACCATAACTATGCACTGGCACCCCCCCCGCCCCCCCCCCCCCCATCCCCAAAAGTTTACAGACTAATTGAGAAGGCATACTTAAATAGGCAATGAAGGTTACTGATGACTTACACCTTATACTTAACCCTTGACCCAAATCATCTTACTTCTTACTCATTTCCCTTTTTTACTGTTCTCTACTTCTATTGTGCTTTCTAGCTCTGGAAACCTCACATAATGTGTTTCTATGAGTTTTTCCCTAGGTACTTTAACTTGCCTTCTGGAGTTAGTCTCTTCTAAGCTTAATCTTAAAATAACTTTCCAGAAACATCATTTTCATGTAATTCTCCTCCTCAGGAATACACAAGAGAAACCTACAGCCTCCTACAGTAAATCTAAATGTTTGGCTTCCCGTGTCCCATTACTTTTCTTGATACCAGTTCTGTCTGTTCCCCATATTCTCTCCTCTTCTATTTAGCCATTTTCCTCACTGTCTTTTTAGAGCTACTTTTCAATCCCTTACCCCAACCCTTGGATTTCTGAATCACTTTATTTCTCACCTTCAACTTTTTTGCAAGATGTGCTGATTTTGCTGATTGAATGCAAATCGGTTTATAAGAAAACTTAGCCAGGGTTAGAATAATGAGCCTAGGACATAAAAATTCAGAAGCGTAAATATGATGAACTCTTTCTGATCCATTTATGTGTTAGAGAAGGAGCAAATATTTGAGTCTGTGTGGGATTTACAAACTCTGTTCTAACTACACAATGCCTGACTGCATGCTGGAAACAGCCACAGATTAAACATAAACAAAATGCAAGTTAGTTGTATTTTACAAAAAGAATTATTTGTAGAAACAGGTGGTGGGTAGACTTTGGCTCTCTAACCCTATCTGTTGACTTCATTCTAGAGGAATAAGAGTAGATTTGAGTGAAGCTCTTCTTTTTCATTTGGTAAAGGACAATGAAGTCCCTTAGGCCAGCCCCTTCTCTTCCCTGAGTAGTTCAATTTGTTTTTTTTTATGACAATATGTACCCTAGAAGTAGATCTCTAGCCTAGAAGTCATGGCCATAGAAATCTGGGCTACGATCATCTGTTTCAACTGTTTGGGTCAATGATGAAGTGATAATGAAAGCTACTTCCCTGCCTTTGTTGGAGACAGTGAGCAAAGGTAAAGTGTCTCATTCTGCTATTGTCCCTGGTCTGGCCAGAAGTTCACTCATTAGGATCTCAGGATCTTCACCCACATTCCTATGTGCAAGGCAGTGCTCTCTCACTTAATCCTTACATCAACCCTATCTCATGTGTAAGCACTTGCCATCATACCTATTTTTCAGACAGAAGAAGTAGATGAGGTCTTAGTCAACATTACAGAAATGGTCTTGGTGATTTGGGGAATAAGACATGCCTTATTAATAGTTCTTATTTCAATGTGAGTATGATAAAATGCAGTTGAGTCTCCATATCTTCTGGTTTCACATCTGTGGATTCAATCTTGGGGATGGAAAGTACTTTTTTAAAGTGCTTACAGTGAATGTGTTCAGATTTTTTGTCATTATTCCCTGAATGATACAGTATGACAACTGTTTAAATAGCATTTATACAGTATTAGGTATTTTAAGTAATCTAGAGGTAATTTAAAGTATAGAGGAGGGAGAATGTGCCTTTGCTCTATGCACACACTATACCATTTTATGTAGGGAATTGAGCATCCTCTGATTTTGGTGTTTGTAGGGGATCCTGAAACTAATCTCTTACAGATTGCAAGGGACACTTGTAATGAAAATAGCTTACTGTCTACAGTCTTCACAATGAATTTTCAAAGAGTATATATATTTTTCACTGTATTCATAGAAAAACAAGGGTTAAGTAGCATATCCAACTTTGCTCATTTAGAAAATTCAAGAGTCAGGATTCATACCTAAGCCAGCCTGGCTCAATAAGCTCCTGACAGATCCTTTAAGCCCCTCTATCTATTTCTTGTTTTGCTTATTTATTCATTTATGACAGTGTCTTGCTATGTAACCCAGGCTGACCTTGAATTCATTATGTAGCCCAGGCTGACCTCAAATTCTCGATCCTCTTGCCTCAGTCTCCCCAAGTGCTGGGATTATACAGATGTGAAGAAGCCACTATGATGGACTAAAGTCCCTCTAACTCTTTAAGAGCCCTAGCCTAAAAAACATAAACTTTAATGTGTTTCAAAAGGCTCCAAATGATTGCTCCATGTAAAACAGGGAATTAAGTCAGCTTCATGGGATCCGGGATCCCCCAGGAAGACTTCAAGAAGCAAAGAGGCTGGGAGTGGTGTTTCACACCATAATCCCAGCTACTTCGGAGGGAGAGATAGGAGGACTGAAGTTTGAGGTTACCTTGGCAAATAAATAAATAAATAAATAAAATTTAATGAGTCCCTATCTCAAAGAATAAGCCAGGTGTTATGGATACACGTCTAATTCCAACTGTGAAGGAGGCATGGGTAGAGGGATTACAGTCTGAGGTTGGGCCCAGGCTAAAATGTGAGACCATATTTCAAAAATAATCATAGGAAAAAGGGCTGGGGTTGTGGCTCAAGGAGTATTGTGATTGCCTAGCAAGCAAGAGGCTCTGGGTTCAAACCTCACTATTACCAAAAAGAAAAAAGAAGAAAAGAAAAAAGCAGATTGGCAAAGTAACACTTGTGATTTGAGCACTGGTCCTAAGCAAGAGCCAGGCATAGGTCTAGGCATAGGTCCTTGCCCTTCAGCACAGAGCCAGGTATCTGGCTGCACCTTCTGACCTCAACTGTGAAAGTGGCTTTTAAAAACAGTGAAGCTTCCTACACACTGTGGTGGTGCAGAGGCGGAGGGAGGCATGCTCTTACCAGCCTGTCATATTAAAGTCCCTGTAGAGCATCTTCTTTCCAAGTTCCTTTCTCTGTACTCTCCTTGGAAACTCCAAATGTGTGAACTCATTTCCCAGCAAGTGAGGCTGCATGAATGCCTAATAGCAAAAAGAAAAAGAAAGAAAAGCCACACACATATTTAGAGGACAAAATAAGTCTCAAGGATGTTTTGCAAATTGAGAACCCCATAGTTCAGAGACAAAAAAAAATTGTCTCATGTTTTGAGGGAAGTAGATTTCAGAATTTAAAAACTAATAGATGAACAAATAAAAATCATGCATTTAATTTATAGGGGATGTCAATTTTTCAGTTGCAATCAAAGGCACATGTAGCTGACAGTGTAAGGAAAAGTGAATGAGTTTCTACAAAGTTCACTTTTTAATTCAAATTCAAGATGGTCCCATTTTCTGAACTAGCATGATGGTGAGGTAGGAGGGGAACAAACTTACCCTGATTCTTTCCTCCTTGTCTTTCTCTGCTTTCATCTCACTTAACCATAGTTACCATGGCCTTAGCCTATGAAAGCTGCATGTGAGTTTCCAGTAAACACAAGGGCGTGAGACCATGGGGTGCAGCTAGATACAACAGAGAGGAATGCTCTGCTGGATCCCCTCCAGTTTGCTCTGCAGTCATTTGCTCCAGTCATTGGAAGACTATACCAGAGCAGATGGCTTCTCCCCTTCCCCCCAAATCTCTGTTCACATTACAAAAGTCTCAAGCAAACAGTCACTTAGGGAATTGTTTTGAAACTACAAACAGCCTCATTGTTACATTCAAAATTCAAATCAAGCTATCCAAGAGATGGAACATTCACATTTTAACTTCCTTGCACAGAAGTCACACACCGTAAGCATACCTGAACTAGAATTTCCCACATCAAGGATTAATGCCTGCATATTAGCAGTGTGGTGGAATGGATCAGTTGTCTTTTTTTGGCAGAGAAAATTGTGGGCAGAGCACATCACAGACTGGCACTGTCAGAAGGCAAGGGATCCCTGCCAAAGGACAGATGGCCATGCCCTCAGTTTACTGGTACAGGTTGAGTATCCCTTATCTGAAATGCTTGGGACTGAAGTATTTAGGATTGAGAGGGGGCAGGTTGGAATATTTTCATATACATAATGAGGTATCTTGGGGATGGGACCCAAGTTTAAATGTAAAATTCATTTATGTTTCATATACACCTTATACATGTAGCATCAAGTTAATTTTGTACAGTATTTTCAATGTGCCTGTGTTTTGACTGCAACCTGTTGCATGAAGTCAGGTGTGGAATTTTCCACTTATGACATCAGTGTAAGTCCTCAAAAATGTTCAGATTTTGAATTTTTGTATTATGAATGCTCAACCTACAATAGGCATCACACACAGAAAGGTCCAATGTCATCAGATCACCTACTGATGCTCACAGCGGCTTGGAGCTGCTACTTAGATGTTAGTGATCTGAAGCTAAGTTAATCAGGAGCCAAGGAAGCAAGTGAATTGTTACCAGGCTTGTCATATTTATCAAGAGATGGAACTCTGAAACAGTGGTTTGGAGCAGGCTTGTGGACAGAACAGGATGGGAGGAGATAGGACACAATGACTGAGGGCAAGAAGACATGTGCCTTCTTGTCTGCTGGGAACTCTGGATTGCTTTGAGAGGCTCTTAAACTCCGTGGGGGGGTGAGACTTGAGTTGCTGATGGCTATCAAGTAAGCTTAAATACTGAATTTTACTGAGGTAAGTTCTTCTGAGAAAGAAGAGAACTAATACTTAATAGAGCAGGTCTATGGTATGGGTTTTGAGTGAGACAGAATTGGGTCTGCATTGAGGCTCTGCATTTATGAACTGTGTGATTTTAGTAGGTCACTTAATTTCTAGAACCTCAGTTTCCTTATCTGTAAAATGAGATTCATTACATATTTATCTCATATTCCTATTTCCATAGTTAAATGAAATGTCTCTAATGGACTGATCATGGTTATCTTTATTATCTTTGTGTATAATAATAATAATTATTATATCCACTTGATGATTTTGAGTCCTATTACCTCCAAGTACTACATTCAGTGCTTTGTGAGTCCTCATTTCACTCTCCTAACAATCTTATGAGCAGGAATAGTTATTTAATTTGTAGGAAATGAAATCATGGAGCCTCTGTTTAAAATGAAGAATTTCAAGATTGGGATAGCAGTACATTAAACTAAATGCCAGGCCCTGGGTGACTCTACCAGTTTCATACCAACAAGCTAGCCATGCCTGAAGGGTAGATAGCATCCTATTCCTCTTGTACTGTGGTCCACCGGTGAAAACTGAGGAATAGAGATTTAAGTAGCCAATAAACAGGAGCACCTGCCCTTTACCCTTTATTGTCTTTTAGAATTCTGAGGCTATATCAGCGTGGAATTCAGCTCATACTTCATCCCGAAGTTGTATTGGCTCTAATTTATAGGTTTCCATGTGACTTATATCTGGCATTTGATACACCCTATCTTGCCCAACAGTGCTACAAAAGTTGTATTGTAGACTCAACTTAAAAATGAGGAAACTAAGTCCCAGGAAAGTTAAGACACATAGCCCAAGGTCATCAGCTAAGACTAGGTGGTTCTAGAGCCTGAGATAAATACCCTGCTCAAAACCTTCATCCTGCTCTGCATTAGTCCTTTAGTCTCACACACCGCATATATTTAACAATACAGTAAGAGACCCACAAATGGCCCATGATTTTTTTCTCCTAGATCACCCAGTTGAAATCAGCAGACCCAGTTAAAAATTAATAAAATCCAGACTTGCAACAGCATAGTTACAAGGATATTCCTGACATTATTTATTACAGGAAATAACTAGAGGAAATAATTTAATAATATAATGAGAGTAATTAAATAAACCAGCAGAAATTCATACAAAGGAATTCTATTCTATCATTCATAACAATGCTATAGAGAATACGCAATGACATGCAGGATTAATTTAATTGTATATACTTTTCTTTTTTGGTAGTACAGGAATACTACTAATGACCTCATGCTTCCTAGGCAGGAGTTCTATCATGAGCTAAACATCCAACTCTGAGAATCGATTTAATTATAAAAACCAGGTTGTTAAATAATATATGTATGTATTAATATTAATATTAATATAAGCTTATATTTACTTAAGGCATATACACTGATATATGTGTGCTATGATCTGAATGTGTCTCCCAAAAGTCATGTATTGGAATCAATCCTCAGTGTGACCTTTGGGAGGTGTCTAGGTCATGAGGGCTCTGTACTCATGACTGCCTGATGCTGATATAAAAAGGGCTTATGGGAATGGGTCCTCTTTCTCTTCTGCCACATTAACAAAAATGTCCATACTGTGCCAGGAGTAATTCCAACTACTCAGAAGGTGGAGATTGGGAGGATTGTGGGCAAAATGTTAGCAAAACTCTACCTCATCGATAACAAAAAAACTGGGCTATATCTGTCATTTCAGCTATGTGGGAAGCATAAGCAGGAGCAGTGTGGTCCAGGCTGATCCTGGCAAAAACATGAAACCATATTTCAAAACTATCCAAAGCAAAAAGGTCTGGGTCCCTGTCTCAAGTGGTAGAGCACCTGCCTAGCAAGTAAGGGCTCTTGAGTTCAAACTCCAAAACTGCCACAAAGAAAAAAAAAAGTCTATACCAGACATTGGTGCCTTAATCTTAAACTTCCCAGATCCCAGAATTGGAGGGAAAAAATTTCTGTTCTTTATAAATCACTGTCTATGGTATTCTGTCATAGTAGCACAAAATGGACTAAGATAACATGTGAGTATAAATACTTGTACACAATACACACGAATTATTGACAAACAGGATAGGATCCAGAGAACATTTCATCACAAGCTCTGAGTACAAGGTTGATGGAGTTCAGGACACATTCCCCCAGAATGATACCTTGGCATTTGAGGAAGCAGCAGAAGCAGGATCTATATGGTTTGGACTTAAAGAACTGTGTTGGAAGCTTGTACCATAGCTTGAGGCGCTATTTGAGGTGGTGGAACATTAAAGAGGTAGGGTTTAGTGGAAAGAAGTTAGGTTACTGGGGGTGTACCCTTGCAGGGGCTATTGGGATTCCAACCCTTTCTGTCTCTCTCTGTCTCTCTGTCTCTCCTTCCTGACTGCTCTGAGGTAAGTGCCATGTTTCTATCATGATGGCCAAAAATAATGGGCCAAGTGACCATGGACTGAAATCTTTGAAACCATGATCCAAAATAAAAGTTTCCTCTTTTCAAGTTGATTTATCTCAGGTATTTGTCATACTAATAGGAAGCTGATTAACACACAGACCATAGAAGCTAAAAAAAAACCATCCTTCTCATCCCTTTTCCCCTGATGAAGGCCATAAAACCTATCTGACCTTCTGAAAATAGGTTATTAGACCCTCCATCCAGGATGAACTTGGTAGCATGCATGTGTAGTCCTAACTATTTGGGAGGCTCAGGCAGGAGGATGTTTGGAGCTTAAGAGCTAGGCAACAGAGGGGTCCTGCCCTACACCCAGGGGAAAGGAATGTCACACAGTAATGCCAAGATGATTCTTAATAAGCAAGCCCTGCTGGGTTATGCCTCATCCAGTTTATTACCATTAGATCAGAAATCCTTTCACCCTCCAATCATACTTATGTTTGATGCCCATAAAAATAAGTTTTCCTTGTTTCTTTGGCTTTTCATTTCTGAAGGATCTTGTGCCACATATAACTTACAATAAATAGATTTTATGCTTTTCTTAATTTGTCTTTTGTTATAGGGCCATTAACTATGAAATAAAAAAAAAATCCCGTCTCCCCTTTGAGGGTAAGTGTGCCCAGTGCCAGGCAGTTTCCCTCCTCACAGGGGGATAGTGAGTCCTTGGATGTTGCTTTAGCCAAGGGACTCCCCCCACCCTTTTTCTGGTATACATTTGCCTGAGCATTTGCCTCAGAAGATCTGCTGAAGCAGATGCTTGGGGGTTACCTGGCAACTCTTCTGCTGCTTTGCAAGGCCCCCCTCACCTTTCCCTCTGAGGAAGAGGATAAAAGCAGCCTTAAACTCTGTGTTACTTGGGACATGGTACACACGTCACATGAAGCCCTTCACAAGCTCAAATTGC